GACTTGGATTCAAAGGAATATCTTGAGCAGGAAATGAACATTCAAAATGATGAGTTCAGATATTTTAAAGCGGTGTTCTGTGTTGTTGTCAGTAATAGTCTTTTTCATTAAACAGTTCCACAAAATGGCCACCATCACTGGAGCTATTACTGTCCCACAATGATGAGTTTTCATAAACGAAATCAACATGTTGGAAGTAACTGAGGTGTAGAGTCTAACTGATGAGCACTGGCGTGGAGCGCTGCACAGGAAATAGGTGTTGGACGTCTCCTTTTCTATCAGAAGTGTCCGTCATCTCCATATCACACCCTCAAGCCATGAACCTGTCTTACATTTTTACACGTTGACCTTTACGGTGCTGTCAGTAACTTTCTTGGAGGCTCAGAAGCAAAAGAGTGGTTGGCTCACTTCAAACCCTAGCTACTTTGGTCCTTTCAGGTTTCAAGACAGGCATGAAGTGTTTTGTGGAAAGGGCTGAATTCATGACCGCTGTTTGAAAAATCACAACACCAACATCACTTTTGCTTTAATGGGTATTAGAAACTAAATTTCATGGCAGTTCCAGCATATGCAGCATGTTTGATGATTCGTGAAACGGTTGTTTTCAGAAGAACATTAATAAATGAGAGAATAAGGGGAGTGGTGGAGCATTGGTTAGAGAAGGTGAGCTTGTGATCGGAAGGTTGCTGGTTCAACTCCCCGGACCAACAACATCAAAATGTGGATGGGAAAGTTGAAGCACCCACACCTGCCTCCACCCTCATTTGCCCAACTCTGGGCCTTTGAGAAAGGCCCTTAACCCCCACCATCTGTTCCCCTGGCGTGCTAGATAGCAGCTCTCTGCACCACCCAGAGGGCTGTGGCAGCTCAGTGGTCTGTGGTTGTGCAAGTATGACGGAGTATTAGGGCAGCGTTAAGAAAAAAAAAAAAAATGTTACCAACGAGAATAATCTTGAAATATTATGAGAAGAAATTTGAAATAATACAAGAATAAAATCAAAATAATATGAGAATATACTCTCTTAATATTACCAGAATAAAGTCGCAATTTTATCAAAACTCCGATACGAAGAAGCAGTCTTACAATTGCGTTAAAACGATGAATGTTGACATCGGCAGCACAGTGGGAGGGGGCCCAACACACTGTTGCATATGGATTCTTATGATAAACTGAAGCAGTATGGTATTGCAATTAATGGCTGTATTGACAGATTTAGTCGTGACATTATGTGGATGGAGACATATTTCACAAAATGTGACCCAAAAGTGATTGTGGACTACGTCCTAAACACAGTGACTCACAGTGGAGGCTGTCCACAGCAGGTGCGAGCCGATGTAATTTTATGACTTTTTTCTCATAATGTAATTTTTTTTTTCGTAGCGTGGTCCTAATACTCCATTAAACGTAAGTAAGGGCATCCGGCGTAAAAAAACTAAACAAAATAATTGCCATGTCTTCGTGTGAGTTAGCTCACTGTGGCGACCCCTGAAGAACGGGGCAGCTGAAAATAAATAAATGAACGAATGAATGAAGGAGGAAAAAAATCTACACTGTAAATTTGATTGCAGAGAATTAAAACATAGTTTTACAGACAGACAGGTCTAGGTTAGAGATTTTTGGTTCTGTTATACTAATGTTCACTGCAAAAAAATATACACTTTTAATTGTGTAAGCATTACCATTAAACACATGTAACCATTAATAATGATTTAGGAGACAAAACTCGTCAAATTTAACCAACTTCAGTGCAACTAAAATTCTCGTTGAAAACTCAAGAGCGTTTAAATTTGTCCTCTAGTCTACAAAAACTACTTGGAGATGAATGAAATAATTTAGTGTTATGAGCCTATTATGATTACTTATTCAACTACACCCCCCTCCCCCCAAAAAAAAGAAAAAAAAAACAAACACAAAAAAAAAAAACTGTTGAAATGAAATGAAATGAGATCGTTATGCAGGAAACATATGTACACATGTTTTGGCAACATGTTTAATGTGTGACGATAGAGGTGGAAACGATCTCACGCGACTCACCGAGTGCCAAGATGAGCAATAATTATTTAATGAACTAAGACCCGACTCTGAAGTGTTTCAATAAAACAGCCTGTTCTGGCGAGCTTAACCTTAATAACTTCACATTTGGAGTGTATACTTTATAAATTAAGACATTGCAGGTATTCTTATGTGTCCCATCTTAGCATGTATACACGTTAATTGCACATCATTTTCTACTTTGTGTAGCATCTGGTGTCAAGACTATGTTGCAGTAAAACAAGAGTCTCGGTGCTCCTGAGCTGCCAGGTTGTTTTTACTGTAACCAACAGAGTGGAACTGATCAATGGCTTCAAGCCCAAGGTGCACTAGTTATTAATTATGCTACTTAGTACAGATGTGAAACAAAGACAGTCGAATCCTAAATTTATCCTTGTTTTAGTTTTTGTGTTTGGTAGATCTTCATTCTAGGGACTCACGATATGAACGTTATCATCTCCGTGTTTGTATGTGAAGTTGGCAGGTGTGTTCAAACTTTAAGAGCACCAGGAACAAAAGCCCCCACTGTACTGGATGAGCGATGCTGGTCCCACCAGGGGACATCAATTATTTCTACAAATGCACAGGCAGGATGACAAATAGGAGACGAAAATGTAGCAGACAGATGACACAAAGGCACGCAGTGCTTTGACTGATGCTCCAACTTATACTGTGCACGTTCATAATTAGGTGATTTATGCTGGTCATTGCAGAATCAGAGCTAGTCACCCACATTCCAGTCCATTTATCTGTCTTGCTACCATTTTAAAATTATTTCACCATTTATCTAAAATGCCCCTACTCTCAAAAACTGCACTTTTAATTTAGTGTTAATGGATCTACCAAGTTCTGTGTTTTATACATAATGTCAAACTTTGACTGCACTGTCTATGGTAGTACGTATGAGAGCTATGGTTCCAGTTCATGTTTTTAGCTGTTCGCTTCTGCAGGGCGTCCCACAGTGTGCAAACTCTGAAACGCTCTTTGTGACACAACTTTAGCTTGAGCCCACAGCCTCAGGATTACGAGACCAGAGCGCAGACCACTGACCCACCGAGTTACTGCAGCCTCTCAAACAAACAATATGCAGGACAAAAAGAAAAAAAGAGGGAAAATAGTGGGAATTTAGGTAAACTATTTTAGGATCACAATAAATATTTCAACATTTTCATTTTCAACAAAAAATCCAGTTAGTAAAAGTTCTCTATCTAAGGAAGCAGCAGATTGTGTTGAATCTTCACTTTGTCGCAGTCTCCCATCCTGAGCAAGCACAAAGGAGATGGTGGAAAGGAAAAACTCACTTTTAACAGGAAGAAACCTCCAGCAGAACCAGACTCAGGACGAGTGGCCATCTGCTTCGACAGGCTGGTTAGGGTTAATGGTAATGGACTGCACTTGTATAGTGCCTTTCTATTTTATCAAGATACCCAAAGCGCTTTACACTACAATCTGTGCCTCATTTACCCATTCATAGAGCACTCTACAATATCTCTACAAAGATAATAGAACAAATCATTCTAAAGAGACTAATCAGAGCTTGATCACATTCATACACCGATGGGACACACATCAGAGGCAACAAGGGGTTCAGTGTCTTGCCCAGGGACACTTCGGCATGTGACAGCTGGTGGAGTCGAACCCCAACTCTTGCATTGGAGGACGACTGCTCTAACCACTCAGCCACAGCCGCCCAAATTATTGTTTATTTATATACAGCAGTCCCTCGATTATCGCACGGGATCCGTACCCTGAAGCCCTGCGATAAGTGAAAAACCACAAAGTAGGAATAGTAGTACAAGTAGTACAGAACGTCATGATTTCCCTCTCTCTGCCACAGCAGTTTTTAGGTTTAAAAAAGGCATGAATTTCATTTTTCCGACACTCTTTAGAGCTTAAATATACAGATGTTGTGAAATCCAGAGATGAAATAAGTGCTACAGACTAAAAATTTGAGGTAGAACAACGTAGCTGATAACTGTGTTGTCAGTCCTCTTCCAAAGTGTGTGATGAGTAAATGAAGATGAAATCCTCCTACATCGCCTTCTTTTGTTAATTAGTGAGTAGAAACTCTTGCTTTAGCACTAACAGCACACTCTGTTTAACTGCTCTGCACTTCATTTTTACCTACTTTGTTTAATGGCTGTTGCCTCAACAGGGAAATGTGATTTCTTTAGGGGTGTAGGCAATAGTTCCTAACATTAACTTCTAATAAAGATAAAGAGAACAATGAACAGTTTACAGAGATGACTTACTATAAAAATATTCCAGCAGGTTCCGTTTCCACTGTAGGTCTGAATGCTCAAGTACAATTTGTTTTGTTCATGCTGGAATATATCCAAAACCATGCCAGGCAGCTAACATGTTGAAGTGAACTTCACCAGTTCCGCCAAGAACAATGCGAAAAGCAAAATCCAGATTAACTTTATGTATTGTCTGTTTCACATCAAAGACTTGTAATAATTTCTTCTTAAAGAGAGGAATAAATATCTGACGTTAATGAACTGTTGTTCATGTTCAACAATGATCAGACAGACATGTGAGCCTTCATTAGGGTTAGACCACAATGATTTGTTGGTCAGAGAATATTCCAGGTCAGCCTACACAATAATGTGTTTACTCAACAGGAAAAATCATTTCAAATTCATTTTAGTTTGAAAATCAGAATGCTTCCATAAGCCATTGACAACTGAGGCACGTTTTAAATTAGGCTGCTGCAGAAACCAGACATGGCAGGCAGATTCTACTTGAAGTCATGTCTGACTTCAAGGCAAATAACATGTCAATCAGTTATTGTAAAAATCTAATGATTAAATAAATTACAGAGTGGAGTATGAATTATGTATAACACAATCACAATTCTGTTTCTCTTGAAAAAGAAAAAGAAACAGACATATATTTCTAAGAATATTATGAAGATTAAATGAGTGTTTAGAGAGTATGATGGAGCATGAGGACAGAGGAACAGTACCTGGCCCACGATGCCCCCCAGCAGAGTCCACATGGCCTGGCCTTCAGTTCGCAACGTTCCATTCACGTTCAGCAGATCCTCCAGAAACTCACAGAGCTGCAGAAAGACAAAAACCAACAGGAAGTGAGCAAACCAATAAAAACATTTACACTGAAACAGAGCCAGCAGTTGTACAATCACAATGGAAGACAGAAATGACTCATTCCAATACATCAAATAGAAAAAAAATTATTAAACAAAGAGAATAATGAATGGATCTAAAACTGATCAACTTTGAAGCCAATCCAGTTCAAGATGGCTGCTACAGCAATAGCAAACAAAAATGGCTACAACTCTGAAAATTTGACAAATATCGAGATAAAACTGTGTGTGATAGAAGCTGAGAGTGATTCACAGCACATTATTCAGAGATCTGAAATATATATTAAAGTGCCATGTGTTGTCATCATTGTGTTCCTTTACAATGGTGAAATTAGTTTTCTGCATTTAACCCACCTGAGATACACCCAGGTGGAGCAGTGGGCAGCTATGTAAGTGCCCCAGGAGCAGTTAGGGATTACCGGTAGGTGTCTTGCTCAGGGACACCATGACATATGAGCATGGAGGGGAGGTGAACATGTGACTTTCTGGTCCCAAGTAGGCTGCCCTACCTCTACACTATCTCAGCCCCAATTAGGAGCATAAACTCTATGAATAACATACAACACGCTGTCAACAGCAGTAACTGCTGAGACTTTTACTTTGCTTTTGAATTCCCTCCCTCGTTTTGACAGATAGAGCAGCGGTCACTTCACAGGTCACATGTTGGGAAAAGATGAAAATAAGACAAAGAGCAGTAAGAAACACAGTGAAGCCATCATTCACTGATATGATCTAATGTGGTGAAACACTTGGATTCACACTCATTCTGTTATTCCAGAGTAAAGCTAAGAGTACAGAACCATACTAGCAGCTCCGCGAGGGAAGAAAAGCTAACTATACAGAGCCATGCTAGCAGCTCTGTGACGGAAGTAAAGCTAGTAGCACAATGCCATGCTAGCAGCTCCACAAGAGAAGAAAAGCTAACAGTACAGAGCCATGCTCGCAGCTCTGTGAGGGTAGTAAAGCTAGCATCACAATGCCATGCTAGCAGCTCTGTGACGGAAGTAAAGCTAGTAGCACAATGCCATGCTAGCAGCTCCGCGAGAGAAGAAAAGCTAACAGTACAGAGCCATGCTCGCAGCTCTGTGAGGAGAGAAAAGCTAACAACACAGGGCTGTGCTAGCAGCTCTGTGAGGGAAGACACGTCAGAAGCTAGCAGTTAATGGACTTTGTGACCTGTCTAGAAGGTCAGGTTAGCCTTTGTTCAATCCCAGTTGGAAGCAGATCAGACTTCTTCAAAAGGGTTAGGAGGTTAGAATTATCACAGCCTCCATTTTGGTTACTCTGCTAAAGTATTAACCCTTTAAGGGCCATGGTCAAAGTCAAACCTTGTTTTGATAAGGATGCTGAGAAAATCTGCTACGAGAGCATCGACACGTTTTTATCGTTCTTGGGAGAATTTCACGAGATACACCCAAGTTCGAGTTATCTGGATTTGAATCACACAAACCACCGTGAACAGATCTATTTTAGTGTTTAAAGGTTTCCCCAGGAGTATTTGTTGTAGTTTTAGGGTCAAATGAATGAATGCATCTCACCGGCAACCTTTCAATCCAAAGTATTAAACTGAGATCATCCATCGATGAGCTGGTAGGTGGAGACGTTTGGTTGTTTTTAGGTTTGCTCAAACTTAGAAAGATATTATAAGATGCGTTCACCATCAGAATTTGTGTTGAGAATGCGCCTCACTTATTACTACCCTATCACAGTTGATCTCGTTGAATTAAATCCAGTTTAGTATTTGCTAAGGTTGTTCAAACTGTGAGATAATTTTTTTTTCTGACATAAGTTACTGTTGATTTAAGATTTTGTGTTTGATACACTGCATTAAAAATAGATGAAACGATAAAAGCATTGTACACAGAATGTGAGGACAGTGCGTGTGCTGCTCACCTTGTTGTACTCCACATGAAGTTTTTCTTGTTCACTCTCCAGTTTGTCTTTTAAGTTCTTCTGCTCAGAGATGTTGTCCTGGATCTGGATCATTCGCATGTTCCGCTCTGAATAACAATGGGACAAAAATCAATAGACGATCACAATCTATGTAGAGAAAAGGCCCATCAGAGACAGAGCTGATGGCAGATAGGCTGAGTGCAGGCAAATATTATCTCAAGGTTACTGGAATGGTGCCATTTATTTAATGTCTTTACAGAACATTCCTAAATTTATTAAGAACTGAAGCACTTCTTACCATCTGCCCAGCGTTGTTTTGATTATATCACTATTTTTACATTTATACTCCTCTCACTGTTTTGGACAAAACTTATTTCATTTGTATTATACAAGAAAACCCTTACAGTTGTCAAGCCTAGCATCCATTGGTAATTAGTGGCTTACTGATGATTAATTATGGACTGTGAGGAGTCTTGTAAAAGTTTTTAACTGCATGTTTTTTCAGTTTTATTTATATGCATTTACAACTTAAATTAGATTCAATGTAAACGAAATAATTACATTATGAAGGGATTTGTCTTGCTTTAAAAGAAGAAATAAAGGCTGGGGGAGAAAAAGAGACCCCCCTCAAGTCAAATGAGGCTCCTGGGCAGCAGTTTGGAGACCACCGCCCTAAACAATAACAAAACACCTCAAAAGATTATTTTTAGAAATATTTTTATTTTATGTAATTTAAAAAATTATTTAAGGCAGCACACCAAGAGAGACACTTCTAAAGCATCACTTTTTATTATTTTTCTGGAAATTTATAGCAAAACAATGAGGTAAATGTGCTTGTTATGCTGCCATTGGCTTAAACTACTAAAGGACAAATTGACCTCATTTCCTTAAACGAATTGTTAAAATTGAATAGTTGTCATTTGATACTATTTCTATCTTAACATCTGATTCTTGACCTGCCATTGTGTATCTGTTCCTCCTTCCTGTTCCTCTCAAACACAACCAGTTGAAGCAGATGGCCACTTGTCCTGAGTCTGGTTCTTCTGCTAAAGGTTTCTTCTTCGTGAGGGAGTTTTTCCTTTCCACTGTTGCTTCATGCTTGCTCAAGATGAGAGTTCTGCGATGGAGTTGAATTCAAAGCAGTCTGCTCCTTAGATAAATAATGGTAAATTATTATTTTTATATATGAATGTTTCTGTTCAGTTCCCTGAAATGATTTCTGTTGTGACTTGGCGCTATATAAATAAACTGAATTGAACTGAAATAAATGTTACAAAATTACAACTGGTTAACAGAGACTGATAAAAATGTGTTTTAAAGGACAAGCGCTGTCTAAATATTAAAGCAGATCAGCATCAGTGATTAAGCTTTTATTATTCTTTAGGTGAAAATGTTTCAACAAAGATGTGATAAAAGTTTGTTCACCAAAGTATTGATGTTAGTATTGGTGTTATAGATATCGACGTTTATTGGCATTATTGATATCGATGTTATTGGTATCTGTGTTATTGGTATTGGCGTTATTGGTAATGGCGTTATCGGTATCAGCGTTATTGGTATTTTTTTCATTCAACTTTTATTTAGACAGATAAATCACAATGAGCCTTGAAGACTCATTTACAAGTGAGATCTGCTTAGACAGACAAAAAGTAGTGAAACTGGAACACGTAGGAATTGGAGGCAAAAAAAATCCTATTAATCTTTTTCTTCTTGGCTGAGAAGAAAAACTAATATTAAAAAACACTTCATACATAAAGCACATAGTGACATAGACATTCCGCCGGGGGAGTGGGGGGGAGACGACGAGAGCGGTGAGCATGTTCAAGGATGCACTTGAGGACACTGTAAGAGTTCTGATGAGGATGTAATAATCAACCTGTTCCCTCTGGTGAGATCCGTAAACATTCTCGAGTGATGTCGGGGAATGGCCAGGGACAACGCCTATGGGAATCCAAGAGTCCTGAAATGATGACACAATGTTTATTCAGCTGGTTTCCTCTGGTTATCAGTTGGAAATTCCTTGATGGTAGGGGGAGGGGGCGTGGTAGAGCGTCAGATTACATTTTCTCCAGGCAAATTCAGATAAGATGGCCTTCAAGGCCAGCGGAGGGAGCCAAATTCAGATAAACACAGTTGTTTTGGGGACAGGCAGAACTTAATGACATCTACCTTGAGTCTGTGTTGGTCCACTCGGTTCCAAAATGTCCAAATTACTTGGCCACTCCGATGGAACGTGACTGAGTAAAATCCCTGAGATCTGATCCATTCTGCCCAAAGCATTTGAGTCTGGATAATCGAGGCATGAACCAAGCCATCATAAAGCAAGCAGCATGATCGGGTTCAAATTGGCTACCGACGACTTCCTTGGTTGTAGATAAAACCAGCAACCAGCCAAATCCAAAAAGCAGGAACCAGTTATCATAAATCCAATTAAATATGCGTCCTTAAAATCCACAAATGGCAGCAGAGATAGACACATCATCAAGTCTTCCAAGTCGATGAGATATCCAGCTGTGTGCATGCCAACAGGGCAAATCGGCTCGCCTAAAGTCTGTCTTCTCTTCAAAGAAATGTTATCAATTGTGTTGAGGGACCAACTGATCAAATCAAGTCCGTAATTATGGTTTGGAAGATATGTAGAGAGAGGCTCAGAAGCAGTTTCACAGACAAAGCAGCAAAGCAAAGCGGAGAGGGAGGGGAGGGGAAAAGTATCGGACCTCGGCAAGAGCAAGTGTTGAAGTGAATAGTGTATCAGCATTATTGGTATTGGTGTTATTGGTATTGGTGTTATTGGTATTGACGTTATAGGTATTGTTTTTTTTGGTATTGTGTTATTGGTATTGGTGTTATTGGTATTAGTATTATTGGTATTGGCTATCGGTATTGAGCATGAATCAGGATATTCACCGAGGTAGTAGTTGACAAAGTCTGCAGTGAGGGCAGGCTGCTTGTGTTTTCTGCGTCCATCCATGCTGGCGTTGGCATCAGACGTGTCCACGGGGAAAATGTCTGTGCTGATGCCCATCAGTTCTGCCTTCCTCATCAACTTCCTGATGGCTGAGGCGCTCGAGGTCAGAGGTCGAGGCAGTTTCTCGCGGGGCACCCAGGCCTGAGGTCGCGTGTTCCTGGAGAGCTCTGCTTTAGCTCGGTACTGCTGCAGGCGGGTGGAGATTCTGGCCTGTGGGTGGAACATCTCCCAACATTTTAAAATCTCACCTCTGAAATAAATGTCCCCCTTTCAACAATCCTTTTTATTTGATGTGAGGTAAAAACAGAACATTCACTGAAATCTACCTGAGGAAACGGTACCTGAGCTTCAGGTGTGAGCTGCTTCTCTCTCTCCTGAAGGGACACCTTACAATAAGACTGCAGAGCCAGGTAATTCTTCCTTTTCCACTTCCTATCAAAACGGTCTGCGTGCTGTTTGCAGTAAGCAAAAAACGGATCGGCGATATCCTGCAGAGAAACAGACACATGCATGAGCATTAAAAGTATAAAAACAAATCTTATTCTAATATTAACTAAAGTCATCTGAAGATAGAATACAGAAAAAGATGAGGTCGTCCAAAACTCAGGGTGGACAAAACGTTGACAGTAACAATCTGTCGTTGATGAAGTCATTGGTGGGCTGGTGCCAAACTGATATTTAATGAACAAAATAATTCTTCAGCTTCTACCATCACTACATTGCAGCTTGTTTTGTGGACACAACACACGAGGAAAAGTTACCTGTCAATTAAGCATTTGAAGAAAAGAAGGTCAGCTTTAACAAATAAAGGCAGAAGAACGCACCCCCCACACACACATGCACATTTTCTAACCTTTACACAACGTTGACTATTTAAAGAACAACAGTACCGGTATTTTGAAACAAATTCATAAAGTATTTTGCTTAAGATGCTCATTTGTGTGTGAGATGCCTCCTGGCCTAAAGTGAGTGTGGAAAAGTAAAAGTGTTCTCACAGAGAAGAATGCATTCAGAAGATGGAGGTCTGTGGACCCAGGTGGGGAGAAAATCTCCGTCTTAAATCCTGCTCACAGCTGTTGACTGAACATTATGTCATTTGGTTCTTGTCTTATTCTTTAGTAGAGAATAAAGAGCTGAAGAAAGGCTGATTTTCCCAGTCTGTCTCATTTCCAACCTCATTTTTCCTGCTCTTACCTCTTCGGCTGCAGCCTCAGATAGAAGTCCCTCTTTCTGTGCACAAGTGACATGAAAGTAAGAGCGACACATTCCTGCATCGCAGCTGATGCACACTCCAGTTCTGGCAAAACGAGTATCTTCACAGAAGCTGCACTCCTTTATAGAACAAACAACAAATATTTCAAGTTCGGGTGGAAACTGGCTCCTTTTAGCTCCTCGGCATCATTCTCTTCTCTCATCTACTCGTGCATGGACATTTTATCATGAGAATTACTGCTAAAAACATTAAATGCACTTTCAAACAATAGGTTAAGAGCAGTTTCTGCCTAATGTTCAATGTTTATTTTTATTGCAGCAGTTTGGACTCAGGTTTAAGCAGCAACCTTGAACTGGTTGCTAAATAAAGCACTTAAATATAAAAATAAAAATGGCTGTGCTACTTCCATTTGCACATTTTAGACATAGCACTGCTCAGTATTCGTCAGGATGTAAAATTAAAACTCGCCTTGGCTCCATATTTTGAATAATTCATCTCGGTAAGCGTCACTGGTCGCAGTTTATCGATGTCTCCAAAAGCTACTCCAGGCACATAAAGTGCACAGACCACGTGCACCCACCTAAAACAAAGACGAGAACATAGAAGAACAACAGATATGTTGAAAAGTAGGTTGTAAATGGTGGTATTTAAATGTGTGGATTTTAAAAGAATGCTGTGAAACTAATTAAAATACATGACTGTGGATTATATTTGCATTTAGTAGAAGACATTGCTGCAGACAATGGAAAGCATAATATCCTTAAATTGGCTGCAGTGAGTTGTTCAGACTTCAAAAAGAAATGAGCTCAAAGATTAGTATGGCCCCAGATTGTGGCTACAGTTTGGTGTGACACAATTTCAAATGCGGACTTTAGGGAAGAGAAGCCGAAGTCCAATATAAAGATATCCATCTCTAGCAAGCAAGCGCTTCACACTTTAATTTGCTGTGTTTTTCATGCTCTAGTGAAGTAGTAAATTCAGCTGCAGCCTGGCTGAGGAGCACTATCAGCGATAACGTGGCTGAAGTTTCCATGCTTCACAAAACACACTCTTTTCTCTTCCTCTAACTCTTCTATTCCCTCCATCCCCCTCCCTCATTCCTCTACAAGTTTTTTCTCTCTCCCCTTTAATCCAACTTCCTTTTTTCCTCAGCAGTGAATAATCAATTTGTGCATTTGGAAAGCCTTTCTGCTGCTGAGCTCAGAGCAGTGGGTGTTATTTGTTTCGGACTCTTCTACGTGTCCTGCCACTCAGAAATGGCAACACAGCACGGTGGTGCAGCGTCCCACCTTCCAGCATCTGTTTCTTTGAAGATGCCATCTTGGTTTGGGCACAGCTCACAGCTGGGAGTCACTCCGTTCTTGCACGCGTCACAGAACCACGGCTCGGTTGAGTTTTCAGAGGCTGAACTCATAATTGAGTCACTTTCACCGTCCACACCGTAACACCCTGAAATCACAAAAACTATTGATGAAATAAACATTATTTCTTAAAAACTTTACTCAGAATGACTTCTGTGGCATTTTTTTCATAAACTATGTTGAGAAGCATGTCGTTTAAACATCACCTGATCAATGATGAATTGTTATTAGACAATAATTATTTAAATTAAGTGGTTTGATTAAAAAGGCATATTAGGTGGATATGAGGGTGAGTAAAATGTTTCAAGAGACCCTCTGCAATAGTTAGAATTAAAAACAACAACATTAAATGTAGTTATACTTTAGGGGTATGTTAAGTTATTATATATACACATCAGTGGTGGGCACAGCTAATCAACAAGTTAGCTGCCCAACCACATGAATTCAATGCGTGTCTCCCTCGTGTCATTTACTTTAATGAATTAACTCACTTTAACAATCTCTTTGCGGTTAACTACTTTTATAAACTAACTATTAAGTTGCTGTGTGTCATCATCAATATTCTCTCTGTAATAAATCTGTTTGTATTAAAGTAAAGATGTGTGAAATGTGTGAGAGAGTCATGTCCCAGAGACAGTGTGAGTGTTGCAAAGCATGCTGGGTAGGAATTATGTTTGCAATGTTTCTGAGTGTGAAAATGAGCTTTTCATGTTTTTTTTGTTTTTTTTCATGTTATTCTGTTCTGGTTTGGCTTCATTTACGCTATGTTAAAGTCTGTTATTGGCTGTAAACTGACACCAGGAGTCAGAGACTGTTTGAGGAAGATATGAGGAGGAAAACACAGCAAGGACAGTGACATCACCAGGTGGTGCTTAGCTTTGCTTTGCACTGCATAGCATAGCTTTGTGAAAATCATTGTATGGAGATGATGATGACAGATTGATGACTGAATGATTTTAGTGCCGAGAATCATCTAAAAAAAAAAAATAGTGGACTTGAATTTCCCAGATTTAAATTCATACATCCATTGTCTTTGCCCACTTCTTATTTTTTGGATTATGGGGATTACTGGTGCCCATGTCCAGCTATCACTGTGTGAGAGATGGCAGACATCCTGGACAGGACAGTCCATCACAGGGACACATAGAGACAAACAACCACTCTCGCTCACACCAAGGGACAAGTTAGAGTTACCAATTAGTCTAACATGAATGTTTTTGTTCTGTGGAAGGAAACCAGAGTACCCAGAGAAAACCCATGCAGCAAGAAGAGAACATGCAAACTCCACCCAGAAAGGTTCCCGGCTGGGATTTGAACCGAGGCGACCTGCTCACTCAGAGGCAGCAGCTCTACCTACTGTGCCACCGTGCCACCCAGATCTAAATTCAGCAGAAGCTAATTCTACTAAAATATTTCAAAGTTAGCAAAAACACAAATTTGTTACATGGAAAGTTAGCTCCACTATTAGGGGATTAGTGGAACCATTCCCACCACTGATACCAGGATATTGTCAAAAATATTTCCATAATTTTCATGAAGGGCTAAAACCAGGGTCACATCAAACAGTCAGTTGGTGACCAGTACCAGTAATTTAATTTAACACTCAAAAATTTAATTCCACACCAGATAAAAAATATGAAGGTTGCAGACATTTCCCACCCACAACTTTACTACATTTCAGCGAGATAAAACTTGGGCAATTTATTGTTAAAAATGTGAACAAACGGTACACCAATGTCCCCCATCGCTGAAGGATTTGAACCTGTGAATGTTTGTAGTTTTGGAGATGTGTTTTTCTGGACTGGAATTGAACAGATAACGAAAGTAAACCTATATGTTCTTGATGCAAAATATTAAAGTGGGTAGGAGTTACACTGTGCATAAGAACAGAGGTAGTTTTTGTTGTCTTGTCCGAGGCAGAGCAGCATGACAGATGGAGGCGAGGAGTGAGCAGTCTGTTCCACCACCAGGCACAATGGTGGGGTGTCAAGAGTGGCCTTGACAACCAGCTTAAGCCACTTCAACTAACTAACTAACTAACTAACTAACTAACTAACTAACTAACTAACTAACTAACTAACTAACTAACTAACTAACTAACTAACTAACTAACTAACTAAATCTCTCTCACACTCACTCTCTCTTGTTCTCTGTGTCTCTCACTCCATCTCTCTCTCTTGCTCTCTCTCGCTGTCTCTGTCTCACTCTCACGCTGTCTCTCTCTCTGTCTATCTCTCTCTGTCTCTGTCTCACTCTCACACAGTGGCGGGCATCTTGAATTTTGACATGGCAACCCATTTTGGGAAGGAACATTTCTTCTGCCTAGATGCAGTCACACAACAAAATGGAAGTTGATACCTCTTATTTTTGAACGTATCCAGCTCAACTGTAGTAACACAACACATAGATAAGAGCTGTGGTAAAAGGTTGCATTGAATTTTCAAACATTTACCAGACTCATCATTAAATAAATAAAAATAAGTATAAAATAAATTAATCATAATGCACCAAAACATATTTGTGCTTCCTCTTTATTTTTATGGAATATATTTATTGTAAAGCAACTCACCAGTCTACCTAAATAAACCGCTTGGCTTCATTTACAACTTAATTAGATTTCTACAGCCAGTTTCACAAAACAGTTCTGGGACATTGTCATAACTCAAGCCCACCGTTATACTCTGATTGATCATAAATCTCTATTGGAAGAGGCCACATCTCAAAACAATGTGTTTTATGAATAAAGATGGCATCAGGAAACAAAGGGAGGTGAGGGTTGTTACATAGCAGTGTTAACATGGAGCATCTTTCATTCTAATCTTGGGGCAGCCTGTTCCCAGACACTGTCCAGCATCACCCACTTGAGCCATAATGCCAGTTTAGTCTCACTGATTGTTTGTTGTAGCTAAGTTGCTACCTCACTTGGCAGCTGTGGTGCAACGATGGGTTGACTCCAACCATCCCATCATGCCATCATGATGTTTTCATAAATCACACCAAAACAGCAAAAATATATCTCAAGCCCAGCTTCTTATGAAAGGGACTTTTTGTGAAATAGACATGACAAACTCCATCAGACTTCCAACGATGTAATCACATAACTTAAACATCATGTTCAAAATGTGTTGTTCATGCACTGCACTTCATTGGAGCTAGATCTGTATTGAAATGACTTATAAAACAGAGAAACATACTCCTGTTTTCAAAATAACCAAAAATGTTCTTTGCTGATTTTTGAGTCCAGATACTACTCATTTTCAAGGAGCCGAGATGGGGTAGAGGTAGGGCAAGCGACCTGAGACCCTAAAGTCCCAGGCTCGATCCTCAGTCATTCCCACGTGTTGTGGCATCTCTGAGCAAGACACCTAATCCCTAACTGCTCCCCGAGCACTTACATAGCTGCCCACTGCTCCACCTGGGTGTATCCCAGGTGCAATGGGTTACATGCAGAGAACTAATTTTGCCATTGTATGGGAACATACAATGATGACAACACATAACACTTATTATTGTTGATTTGTGGAAGACTTCAACCAAATAGTTTAGATTTAGCTGCAGTGGCTACTTTCAAACGTGTTGCTATTCCAGCTCAGGCAAAGTTATATCTTGAACAAATAGGAGATAAGAAAGTAGAAAGCATCCTGCTGCCTGGTCCAGGCTTGTCAATATTCTGTGGCAATGCAGTGCTACAAATTGAATATTTAATAAAAGATGTAGCCCCAGAGAATCAGGAAGAAGTCAGGGAAACATATTTTTTATGTTTCTGAGGTTGCCTAAACAATTACTTGGCTGATGTGGTTTCTATGGCAGCTATTACACCAGGCAGACGTGCTCGTCACCACCAATGAGGGCAGCAATCAGCACTCGGCCTCCTTTGGGGAGATAACACTCCAGCTCCTAATTCAGTCAAGCAGCCTTCAGGCTTTTTGAGCAATGGGAAAGACTCACAAATCAAAAGCTCAACGTTCTGCAGGTTTGTCATTGCAAGCCGTGCTGGGGAGTCAGGCTGCCTATCAAAAGCAAACAATGGTGCAGACGGGGTTGTTTATTCAGTTCTATACTTTGTTTGGTGGCTGCATGCTTTCTGATTGAAACACCATCCATCGTGTGTTAAACTGAATTGTTGATTTTGACCTCTGCTTTTCAGAAGTTGCGATGAGAATATTCAAAATGTCCAAAGGGTCTTATGCATCCATCTGAGATCACCAAGACAATTAGTCAATAAATTAACAGCCACACATGGTGTGGCGTACCAACTGGCTGTATGGTTTAATTCAGATTTTATAAACTGTATGTAGAAAAGAAAGCAACCTTGCTTTATTCTTGTATCAAATCTTCTCTTAACAAAAACATGATAAAACAATTTATGTAAATAAAAGTGTAATTGGTATGACGATGATAGAAAGTGACTGATGATGCTTCGAGCTGTGAAAGTGAGGGTTGTGACGCTGGTTTAACACCACGGTAAAAATCTGCAGTGTTCTTTCTGAACTAAGATAAGCTCAGACTCCTAAGCCATAGCTTGCTGGCTAATATGAGCTAAGCTGACAAAAAATGATGACTACTGGATAACTTTATTATCGCTGAAGAAAAGATTATCCTTGTTAGAAATGAGGAGCTTAGCAGGAAAAAAGGGGGAAAAAACGGAGTAATACGATCACGTGGTTTAAATACAACACAGAGCTCTCCTCGTCTTTAACAAAGGCTAACTAATTAGGTTTTGTAGTTTCACAAAATTTAAAAAATGCTGAATTGAATTTTATTCAGATAAAAAAAGCAATGATGTTTTTAAAGGGTTCTGCATTTTAAAGCCATTTTTAAATCAATCACCAATCTCTAATTATGAAAAGTCTGCAAATACTTTTCACTTCCAACATTTTACGTATCCACATATCAATTATCATGTCAGTCAACAGTTTTTAAATAAGTTACCACGTCTTCAGTAGGTCCTAAAATCCCAACCGTACAGAACATAAAACTATTTACAGCATAAAGTTTTTTTTAATATATACCACCTTGCAGTGGGTGAAAAATACAAAGATCTTACACATAATTATTAATTTGTAAAGCGATTTAGCAGCAACAGTT